TTCCTTCCTTCCTTCCTTCCTTCCTTCCTTCCTTCCTTCCCTTCCTATTCTATAATCTGTCCTTCCTTCCTTTCCATCCTCTGAAGATGCCAGCCACCGATGCAGGCAAAATGTCAGGAATACATTCTTCTAGACCACAGCCTCACAGCCCGAAAATCCCACAAAATCCCATGGATGCGGGCCATGAAAGCCTTCGACGTCACTTTCCCTTGTTGGAAAAGGAAAAGAGTGAACATTGGTGGGAACTGTTCTGGTTTTGAAGAGAAAATCCCAAAATTGTATGGTGCCTGCGTGTATGTGCCTTCAAATTGCCTGTGACCCCATGAATTTCAGAGGGTTTTCTTCTCCAAGGAATCCTCAGAGGTCAACCAGACAGTCATTTGTTGTATTTTAATAAATCAAATCCTCAGTAGATCTGGGTTTGCCCTTAGTGAAAAGATCTCTAATGAGGTAAAGGCCTCTTTCTTCCCAATCCTTATATTGCAGCATTTTATCTGGGTGGAAAATAAAATTGGAATGGTATAAAAACGGACATATAGGTGACACATCTGGAGAAGCAATATATTTCCATTTATGCCAGATCTCAGTGGTGGTTTTAAACCATAGATTCTTGAAGTCTCCTTTCCTCACATTTTTAAAAAAAATAATACTATGAAGTGTGCTAAGATCTACATTAAGTTCCATATCAACCCAGGGGATGTTAGTACTTCTATTTATGAAGGGAATTGCTTGACATAATTGAAAAGCTGGAAAATAAAGTCGGAGATCCGGTATGGCCAGCCCACCCATGTTGGCAAGGAGAATCTTTTATTGCATTTGACTAAACACAATTACAAAAGTCCCCAATAAAACCCAGTTAAACCCAGCAAAAGAATACATACGTACATGTTCATCTATATCCATACAAAAGACTCAAATGAATAAATCTCCTGCACAATCCATAGATATACCTACACACACATATCCATAAGAAACATCACATGAGTGAATCCCCAGCACAATCTATCGCAATATCTTTATTTTCAAATGGGAAGCACGTATACTTTTAGCAGCTTTAGCAAATATGTTTTATGTGTAACATACGGATCACAGTCTGAACATAGCCAGCATATTTTCGTATAAGAGCTCCCCTCACGGCATGGAAGCCCAAATCTGACCCAAGAATCTCTTCCTGGGATTTTGATAAAGCTGGCAAAATCCTCGGAGGTGGTTTGGCCAATTCCTTCCTTTGAAATAGAGCCTCCAGCACCTAGGTATTTGTTGGAGGTCTCCCATCCAAGTCTTAACCAGGGATGAACCAGCTTAGCTTCCAAGATCAGACAGGACCTGGTGCCTTTAGGTACTGTGTGCATATATATTCCTTCAAGTTGGCTGTTGACTAATGGCAACCCCA